CGATTCCAAGTATGAAAAAAGCTTTTTTCCACCTTTAAATACAAATATATCCTTAGAAAAGTCCACAAACGAGTAAGTAGGTAAAAACGGAGAGAAGGTCCGAGGAGAAACGGAGCCGGCGGAGCTCCTCACACGGTGGTCTCCCCCTGCTTACTGCCGGCCAGTCTCAAGTAGAACCTCCTCCAGGAGTTCAGCGTCTTCCCAGACCAGATCCAGAAGCCAGACGTGATGCCCACAATGAGCGTCATGAGGTATTTAATCATGAAGACGGTGAAGTCTGGGTTCGTGCTGCGGTGGTTCTGGACGGGACACGGAACCGCGTACGCTTTACACGTCTGGCTGATCCACGTGCGCTCCCACTGCTCCCTGAAGGCCTGCTCGTAGAAGTAGCAGGCGATGACGATGGTGGCCGGCACCGTGTACAGCACGCTGAAGATCCCTATTCGCACCATCAGCTTCTCCAGCTTCTCCGTCTTGGTGCCGTCGTGCTTCATGATGGTCCGGATGCGGAACAGAGACACGAAGCCCGCCAGCAGGAAGGAGGTACCGATGAACAGGTAGACAAAGAGCGGCGCCAGGACAAAGCCACGGAGGGCGTCCACGCTGTTGATGCCCACGAAGCAAACCCCGCTCAGAACATCTCCGTCCACCTGGCCCACGGCCAGGATGGTGATGGTTTTGATGGCGGGAACGGCCCAGGCTGCCAGGTGGAAGTACTGAGAGTTGGCCTCGATGGCCTCATGGCCCCACTTCATCCCCGCAGCCAGGAACCAGGTGAGGGCCAGAACGACCCACCAGATGGAGCTGGCCATGCTGAAGAAGTAGAGCATCATGAAGAGGATGGTGCAGCCCTCCTTTTTGGTTCCCTGCACCACGGTCCGGATCTCGGTGTCAAAGCTGTCGTTGCAGACCACCTTGTCCTCCAGTAAGAATCCGGTGATGTAGGCGATGGAGACCATGGTGTAGCAGCCCGACAGGAAGACGATGGGCCGCTCGGGGTAGCTGAAGCGCTTCATGTCCACCAGGTAGGTCAGAACCGTGAACAGGGTGGAGGCACAGCACAGAACCGACCAGATCCCGATCCAGATTCTGGCAAATCTGAGCTCTTCCTCCCTGAAGTACATCATCCCGTGAGACTTCCGGGGCTCACACGGGGCTCCGCAGTTGTCCTGGCCCAGGAAGCGGTAGTTCAGGTACGGGGGCACCGTGAGCGAAGCCGGGCACCGGAACTGACCCAGCACGACATCCGGAGGAGGACGCTCCGTGGCAGAGTGACCGGTGGCGGCGTCAGACTCCGCTCGGTCAGACGTGTTCTGGCCCACGCACAGCTCCTCGGAACCGTGCACCGGGAACTTCTCACACGCCAGGCTGTCGGGCCACTGGAAGCCGAACTTGTTCATGAGAGCCTCGCAGCCCTGGCGCGCGCGCTCACACAGAGAGCGGCACGGGGGCAGCGCCTGCTCCAGCACCGTGCACACGGGCGCGTACATGGAGCACAGGAAGAACTTTAGGTCCGGGGAGCACTGGACCTTCACCAGCGGGTAGAACTGGTGGACCTCCAGCCCCGCGTCCTCCTGGTTGGTGTGACCCAGCAGGTTCGGCATGATGGTCTCGTTGTACGCGATGTCCGTGCACAGCGGGATGGCGATCGGCTGGCAGAAGCCGTGCTCCGGTATCGAGATTCCCCGGTCTCCGCCGCCGTGCTGCCCGTTAACTCGGATAAATCCAACCACCAGAACCGAGCTGAACAGGGTGAAGGCGGACGCCATGGCGGGGCTGATCCGCACCGGGAGTCGGTCCGTTGCGGAACTTCTTGTCGGAACCTCGGTAGGCAACAGGATCCACTCCGGACCGGCGGGGTCTCACAGTCCCGGTCCCGCTCTCACCGCTGGGCCATGAAACACAACAAACCCGGAGTAAAATCCACAGAAAGCGAACCGGAACCGTTCATTTAAAATCCACGTTTGGATCCGAACCGGTCCTCTGGAGCCGCCGAGTCCCGGTCTGTACACCGAGTCGGTCTGTCTGCCCTCCTCTCTCTCTCCCCTCCAGCTCACGCGGCAAGCTAACATCCGGGCAACGCATCTTCCGCTACAGCCCTTCACAATAAAAGCCTCAGACTCCTTTAGGAAACACACGTTGGCATCGTTCACCCTGCAGCATAAACCAAGCTTCAACAGCGTTTCAGTGACTCGTGTCTGAAGAAGATTTACAAATGAAAGTTTAGCGGATGTGTGGAGTTCTCTCTCTCTCTCTCTCTCTCTCTCTCTCTCTCTCTCTCTCTCTCTCTCTCTCTCTCTCTCTCTCTCTCTGGGTTAGTTGAAGTTCTACACAACCTCACTTCCTGTTAACTTCCATCTCATGCAGTTGACGTTTTCTGTGTGTGTGTGTGTGTGTGTGTGTGTGTGTGTGTGTGTGTGTGTGTGTGTGTGTGTGTGTGTGAGTGAGTGTGAGTGAGACAAGAACCTCAGACGTTACACATCAGGATTAGAAAGTAAACGTGTCTGAAGTACTTTTAAAAAACGACTAACGTGTTTCTGTCTGTCAGACGTGGCCTGACTCGGGAGTGTGTTCAGTATTAGTGTTGATGGTTCCGTGTGGTGCTGAGATTTACACGCCTATAAATTCGCAGTTAAACGCGTGTGTGGGACATTATAGAACACAACTTAAGTGATTTCTGAATTTGAAGGGGAGATGTTATACAAACGTCACTTCCTGTTGGGTCTGCTGCCTCATAACTACTCCAGATGTTGAAAACCCCATTCATGTCCACAAACAGCACAGGCCTGGGGGAGTTCCTAATTCAGTTTATGTATATAGCATCAAATCACGACCATCATCCGCTGCAAAAGGTTTTATCACAAAGTCCGTCTAACTGACCAACTTTCTTTTATTTCCTCTGATTGTGAAAGCCAGCGAACATCTAAAGATCATCAGTGAACGTTTTATTACGTCAACCAGCAGATATTTTACTACCAACTCCATGTGAAGCATTAATAAACTTTATTTCAGTTAAAACAACATTAAACATTTACAGAAGGACATTACATCTTCTATAATAACATCACACACAGGTAGTAACGGAAAATGCAACAGCTAGGCTTCGTCTCTGGATGAAGTGACTGACCTCACTTGTTTTTCAGTGCAGCGTAAAGGAAACTAAAATAGCTGAAGAGCTTTGTTTCAGTCATAGCCGAGCCCACTATGGTGTTCATCTCAAGGTCAGACCACCCATGTCCACACAAGGAACGCCCAAAATCGATCCTACCACCTCTCTAGCATTAAGGCGGCACTACCCTGTGTTGAACCGTAGTGCAGACATCACCTGTTCCCTCCACGGAGGCTCGTTCTCCAACATCCTGATGACTGGACTGTGGAAAGCATCTGGCCAACATTCAAGCTGGAACAGAATTTAAAGCCACAGAACACAAAAATCTCAATGATCAACAGAAGCTGCAGAAGCTTCAGGGAGGAGTGGAGTTGGGGGGGGGGGGGGGGGGGGCAACATTCCCAAAATAATGATTCAGCTGCTAATACTGTCCGCGATCCGGTACGCCACTGGAGGCTAGGCCATCCGAGCACAGCTCCGTGGTATTAACCCTCTTCTGTCACGCTGCTTAGCGGCATTACCCACCGCCTCTCCTCCCCTTTCCTGCTGCACAATCACAGCCTGGGGGGGGGGGGGGGGGGGGCACACTAAAGAGAAGTACAGCAGGTCTACTGGTTCTTCATTTGGGTAAAGGTCCAAATCCAGAGATGAGTTTTACGGCTCTGCATCAGACGCAGCGAGACGACATTAATATTTAAGCGTTTATCATTTAGGGAAACTCCAGAGCATGACAGTGACCATGCAGGCTGGACTGTATGGCCAACACATTTCTCTCTAACGTGCCTTCTGGGAGAATTTAGCTGTGATGGTTTCTTCTACCTCAGAGCCTCTACGGTTAGAAAAGCAGAGCGGAGCGCGCCGTGAGAAAGCACCTCACAACGAGAAGGATCATCCCTCCTCTGTGGACACAACCAGCCCAACAGGGTCAGCATCCCGGTCCAACCCATTCCCGGGAGACAGTGTTCTGTAGTTCAGGGGAATGATGCCGTGTGTGAGAGGGTTCCTCGTTCCTTCTCTCACACGGGAGGTTTCAAACATTCTGCTTCATTTGCTCAGCAGCACATGCTGTTGCACATCATCGAGTCTGGACCAGATGTGTTTGTGGATTAAACTAAATACGATGGAGCCAGTCGCAGAACGAGCTGTGGCGCTTGTTTTTTTTTTTAGTTTTGAATAAAATATTTCTATCTGAACTTAAAGGAATGAAGAACAACCTGCTATCAGTGGGCTGTCTGCAGGGCAGCAGCCATTACACCCGCTTCCTGCTTTCATCAACAGATGATGTAGCTAAAGCCTGGGAAGGGACTTCCGACCTAAACCATGACTGGTAAGAACCATCAAAGTCATCAGAACACCAGTTCATTCATGGAAAAGTCCAGTTTTGGTGTTTCTACTGGAACAACTACCTGAGAAGGCGGGGCTTCCTCACCTGTTCTACAATCTTTTTATTGTCTGAAGGGAAATTTCTCAGTTTTTTAAACATATTTTTCTACATTTTAAATCCCAGCACACTGTTGTTTTTGTGTAAAATGAGCTTTTTGTCCAAAGCTGCAGGGTTTGGAAAAGGTCTGAAGTTGTGACAGCATCACCAACGGGAATGGTGAGATTCCCCGGATCTGGGATTCTGAGCCTAAAGAGTGCTGATGAAGTCCAACAAAAGATCAAGAAACCCACGAAAAACCTGCTACTCTCAATAGCAAAAACAGTCTGTGGGTGGGGGTGGGGGTGTTATTCTTGGTATAGCAAGAGGGGGGGGGGGGGGGTATTCTGTCAGGCAAGAAGATTACATCATGTGTGTGTGTGTGTGTTTCTGAATCACAAAATAAACATCCACAGTGTCCATCTATCCACGGCTTCACGTTAGCAGCCTTATTTCTGGATAATCAACAGTACAAGGCCAATATTATTGTTTCAGTTGATTTCAAAAGGATTGGCAAGGTCAGAGCCATTGAACTGATAGTACTTCACAATTATTACCAAATATCTAGAATGCAATATTTAGCAGTTTTACACAAAACATTAAAAGAAACCTCTATATAAACATCTTTGCAGATGACATGATGCTATACTCAGGACCTCGTTCAGTTAAAGGTTCTGAAACATGTAGGACTTGTAGGTCAAAGGAAGAGTCTCGGCATGAAAGCATACAGCGTGCATCTACACCCAGCCTTCTGCTCATTGGTCAGGTGAAGACAACTCTGGAACAGTCGACACGTTTGACTCAGAAGCTGAAAACGTATTGCTGAGACTGATCATGTTTGTTGTTTTTGACATGTCAGAACCATGGAAGGTGTGTTCTGAGCTGGGAGCTTACAGCCTATTGCCTTGCTGTTTTACCTGTATGTCCATTAGCTCATAGTTGTAGATGGAAGCACAAATACTTAGCTATTGCCTGCATGTCCACCGTGCACACTCATTACCACCAGACTTAGCTGTGGTCGGTTGCAGTATTGCACTTATATGCACACTGGATGTGCTGTCCCTGCAGTGTCAACACCATATTGGTCTCTAAGAAAGAAAACTCAAGTTATCCACATCCGGCTCCATCCTGGAGGTCCACGACCCCTAGCCTTCTCCATGACACCATCCATAAAAAGCTGCAGTTTAGACAAGGTCACGTGATCCTGCTGGATTCTAGAAAACATCAAAGTTCATCCAAATGTTAACGGAAAGCTTCTTTGTTCAACTTGGTCTTTTGAGCCACTATCGATGAAGACTGAGAAATCTGAAGGATATAATTCTAAATACCGTTTACGTACGATCAAACCAACCGAAGTAATGCCAGCTGTAGAACGTCCAATCATGGACCAGAGAGCGAGCCAAATATTGATCATCACAAAGCCTGTTGTCTCTCGTTCTGTCGTGGTCATTTGTATGACGTCCAGAATGCTCTGAAGATTATTAAAGTCCCTGTTTGTCACAAAACTAACTTCCACTACACAGGTGAAGAAGACTTCAGGTCCCCATGAAGGTCCAGCCGCACCAGAACGCCTCCTAATTCTGGTCCAGATGTGGGATCAGGGCTCCACATCTGGACCTCAGTGAGGAGAAGACGTGCAGGATGGTCTGAAGTACAGGGGGGCAGTGAAGAAGCCCTTGCTCTCAAAGAAACTCCCCAGGGACAGACTGATGCTCTGCTGACATGGGACATGGCCTGTATTCATATAGGACCTTCTAGAGTTTGACAACCCCCCAAGGCACTTTACAACACGTCAGTCATTGCCTGCTGGTGGTGGTAGGAGGGATGGGTGGTGTCTGCACGGCAGCCTGGCCTCAGTCAGTGTTCCCCGGGGCAGCTGTGGCTACATCGTAGCTCATCACCACCAGCGTGTGAATGGGTGAATAGCTGTATTGTAAAGGGCCTTGGGGCAGCAGTAGTTCAGGAGCTAAAGCAGGTTGTCCAGTAATCAGATGGTTGCCGGTTCAATTCTAGCTCCCTCCAAGGTACTCTGCTGTTGTGTCCTTGGGCAAGACACCTGTTGGTGGTCAGAGGGATCGATGGTGAGAAATGGCAGCCTCGCCTCTTTCAGACAGCTCCAGGGCGGCTGTGGCTACAAAGTAGCTCACCACGAGTACCATCATCATTATTATTATTACCATGAGGTGCTGTGCCAAATACAGGCCACTTCCTAAACTCAGACAAGCTTTACAGATTCTTTAGGATTGGCTGATTGGACTATTGCTGCTCCGTGTGTGTGTGTGTGTGTGTGTGTGTTCCCTATAGACTCTGTAAGTGACTATGTCATACATCAAATATACATTCTTAAATAGGAGGCTAGTTACAAACACAAAACACAATATGTACCAATAATGAAGTTCTTTTGTTTACACGGTGACCAGGATATATGAGTTATTGGAATCTTATAAAAAGTAAACAAAAATTGCAAATAAAAGCCTGAAGTCTTAGGTACAGCTCTGAATGTACACATGCTCAACGCTCACTCACTTTCTCATGCACACGCCACACACACACACCATCAAAGTAATAAATAGAGAACCAGGGCTCCTCTTCATGTCAGCATCTCCATCTTGTTTGTAGTTCAGCCACCTGGAAAACAGACAAAAGCACAACGTGAGGAGTGAGGAACGCTCCAGACCCCTCCAGCACTCGGAGAACACGCGTTGTATGATGTTCTTCTGCAGCTGTGATGCTCATTCACACGTGTTCATGACTAATGCCTCACACACATGCACACCCCATCATGATAGCAGCCCAAGCTAGTGGTCACTGTAGCTCGGTTCAGCGGTATCATGATTGCGACCTGCGTTAAAATACTGCTGACGCTGAAGTGGGTTGGAACATGAAGCAGGAGAGGCTTGTTATCACGCGTTTTCATGAAGCTCTTTAGAACCAAGATGACTAATTCACACAGAAAGCAGGTCAGACTTGGCTCTGAGCTTCTGCTACGCTACAGCTGCCTTTACTCAACAACAACACGGTAAATGTGGTTTTAAATACTAGGACCCCTTGGGGCTTAGGGCGTCTACTCCAGAGTTTGTGCCCAAAGGGCTCATTCTGAGAAAAGCTGGACTAACATGCCATGAGCTAAGACACACCACCTTACATCTGCATGTGCCACCTTCAGCCTCGTCTGTTGCGGCGATGCTTAGTACAGAACATTGCTAGGCTAAGCTACTGCTAACACTAGCCTGAGCTGCTAATGCTAGGCTGAGCTGCTGCTAACGCTAGCCTGAGCTACTGCTAACGCTAGCCTGTGCTACTGCTAACGTTGCCTGCGCTGCTAATGCTAGCCTGAGCTGCTAATGCTAGCCTGAGCTGCTAATGCTAGCCTGAGGTACTGATAACTCTAGTCTGAGCTGCTAATGATAGCCTGAGCTACTGCTAACGCTAGCCTGAGCTACTAACGCTAGCCTGAGGTACTGCTAACGATAGTCTGAGTTACTAACCCTAGTCTGAGCTACTGCTAATCATAGCCTGAGCTGCTAATGCTAGCCTGAGCTGCTAATGCTAGCCTGAGCTACTGCTAATGATAGCCTGAGCTGCTAATGCTAGCCTGAGGTACTGATAACTCTAGTCTGAGCTGCTAATGATAGCCTGAGCTACTGCTAACGCTAGCCTGAGCTACTAACGCTAGCCTGAGGTACTGCTAACGATAGTCTGAGTTACTAACCCTAGTCTGAGCTACTGCTAATGATAGCCTGAGCTGCTAATGCTAGCCTGAGCTGCTAATGCTAGCCTGAGGTACTGATAACTCTAGTCTGAGCTGCTAATGCTAGCCTGAGCTACTGCTAATGATAGCCTGAGCTGCTAATGCTAGCCTGAGCTGCCAACACTAGCCTGAGCTGCTGCCAACGCTAGCCTGAGCTGCTGCTAACGCTAGCCTGAGTTGCTGCTAACGCTAGCCTGAGCTGCTGCTAACGTTAGCCTGAGCTGCTAATGCCCTTTGTGGACAAGAGGAAAACTAAAAAGAAGAACATGTTCCAGGATGTACTGGGGACGGTAACATGCTATCTGGCCTGTATGTATTAAGCGCCCTATAGGGTTCTGGAACCACAAGCACAGCTGAGGACTGATGGGGCAAAGAGGAAGAGGAGGGGAGCTGATAGAAAAGAGTGACTTGAAGATGAGAACAGAGGACCAGGAGGTGGAGAAAGCTACAGGAGGAGGAGAGGATGATGAGTCTAAGGGCACAAAGCAGCAAGAGGAGGAGTGAGCAGAGAGGAAGAGGAGGAGTAACTGGTGAAGAAGGGGGATTTGTGGATTAATAACTAATACATGCTCTATCTGGTCTCTCCTCTCTCTGCCTAATCTCCTCCGCTCTGTCTGTGGAGGTGTGTTGGTTGTCAGATGAAGTTTCCATGTGTGCATCAGAAATCCTAAATGTTGGCCTGAGGCCTCATTTAGCTCCTCCTCCTCCTCCTCCTCCTCCTCCTCAAAAACATGCATTTTAGGTTGAATGGAGGCTCTAGATCGTCCCATGTTGTTTGTCTCTGTGATGGACTAGAGACATGTCCAGGTGTCCTGACAGGCACCTGCCCAGTGAGGGGGTGAAGGTTAAGAGAATGAATGAATGAGAATGTACCCCAGGAAGGTGAACTGTAATAATTATGCAGCCCTTCTTCCTCGACGTAAAGCCAACACTAAATTAAAGATGGACGCCAGCTTTAGCCCAGGTTTGACGCCACACAGGATGGACGAGGAAGAGGAGCTGGGAGGACACCAGTCAACCATGGACTGCTCAGAGGACTGGGTGTGTTTTACATCCTACAGTCATCACGACTGAATAAAAACCTGCATCAGTGACAGCAGCTGACTGAAGCCGTATCAGAGCAGAGCCAGAAAACCAGTGGTCCCACTGGTTTCGGACGCTTTGACTTGCCACGGCATCAGACTGGAGAGCGTTTAGCACCTGCAGACCGACGTCAGCAGCTCATGCTGCTCACAGCTCTAACATCTCCTACACCATAGATCAGAACATGCAGTTCCATCAGGAGTCACGAGGTCAGCGTTCTTCTAATGAAGACAAGCGAGCTAACACCCGACACAGAGAAGCAACGGGAGGACGACATTCACAACCAGCAGAATTGTCCAGGTGAATGATTGTTAGGAAAGAAGGAAGCGTGTTTTAATCAGTAATTAAACGTGTTTTAGATGAAAGGTCAACGTAGTTCTGAAGTCGGTACTTTTAACTTTACTGGAGTAAAATGTTAGTTTCTGTACTTCTACCTGGGTGGTGAACGTGAGACACCTGTGTGGTTACCATGGTGACCATCACTGATCTTGGGTCACTTCTCACTTCCTAAACCGTTGAACCTTTACCTAACCAGGTGATGCATCCCTGATGCTGATGCTGGAGGCAGCAGCTGCAGCAGCATCCATCTCCACCCCTCAGGCCAGCGAGACTCAACGCCAGTACTCCGGTGAGTGAT